TGGGAGAGGGGAGGGGGCGGGAGGGGAGGGAGGTTGTTCCAGGACTCGGCCCAGCTGCACGCTGCACTGGCACACACACGCCCACGCACACTCCCTCCGCCGCTCAGTGTGCCCCCAGATCTCGTCCGGCCAGGTCTCAGCCCCCTACACTACTACAGCCTACTTTCAACTTCGCAGCAACTTCGCAACAAAGGTAGGCCGATTGACCGTTTACAGGAGCCTGGGAAACCGTTTTCGCTGTGAGTCATGTTTTCTAACTTGCGCGTTACCGTTGTGTGTGTAGTGGTCGCCGTGGAGGGCACGAGCATGGAGCATCTACCGACCGAGCTGCTGGAGAAGGTGATGGGGCATCTGGCCGTGAGGGACCTGCTGGCCCTCCGCCTCGTGTGCAAGAGGCTCGGCGACGTGGCCGTGCGGCCCAGAGTGTGGCGGCACCGGCGGCTCGACCTGGCCTCCGCGCCCGCCAAGCCGTGCGCGTGCGTGGTGCTGCGCGTGGCGCCGCGTCTGCGCAGGATGCAGCTGTACGCGGGGAGCGACAAGTACCACACCCGGGCGCTCGTCGAGACCAACTGCGCCGTGGACGAGGTGGTGCTGCACCTGTGCCAGCAAGAGTGGCAGGACACCCAGCAGGTTGGTCGGGGAGGTCCGGGAGGTCGGGGCGGTCGGGGCGGTCGGGGCGGTCGCGGCGGTCGGGGCGGTCGAGGGGGCCTGGGCGGTGCGAGACCTCCCGCCAAACTACTCTCCGCCTCCAAATACTCCCCGAGGGCCATGGTACAACTGTTAAACTTCTACGGCTACTCCGTAACGATCCCCGGGAGGTCCAGGATGACCCTGGAGAAGGCCGCCGAGGTGATCCGCAACCAGCAGGCGCTCGGCCGCCTGCGTCGGGTCGAGCTCAGGAGCAACTTCAACCTCGGCCTGCTGAGCGGCATCGATGAGCTGATTGAGACTTTACTGGCGGCGACCTCCGCCCTGGAGGAGCTCGTCGTCGCGCGCGGCGTGCCCCCCACTCTCCGCCCCATCGGTCCCGTCCCGCACGGGCCTTCCCTAAAGCGGTTCATATTTTCGAATTACACTGGGAACCTATCAACGGAGGCCCTGGTGGAGGCCGTGCTGGCCGGCCACGCCGCCACCCTGGAGGAGGTTGACCTCGGCGCAAGCAATTGCGGCCCGGTCTCGGCGACGACGTCTCGCCTGCTGGCCAGGATGCCAAATCTTCGAAAGTTGAGCAGTCAAATGCTGGAGGGGATGGAGGTCGTGGCGGCCTGCGAGAAGCTCAGGGAGTTGCACATGTGGGCCTACGAACCCGTTCACCCCCAGTCCCACTTGGGTGCCGTGGAGCTCCTCCGCCGAGCCCACCAGCTCACCAGGATCACCCTGGAGCACCGCACGGGCCCCGAGATCGGCCCCGAGCTCTCCGCGGCCCTGCCCTCGTCCGGGTGCTCCCGCGTGGAGGTGCTGTCCATGTGCGGCCTCAGCTTGCCCGCACCGGTGGCCTCCGCGCTGTCCTCGCTACCCGCCTTGAAGCAGCTGAAGATCGTGTACCCACCGGAGGACGGCGACGAGCTGCGCCTGCTGCGCGCCATCACCCCCGCCACGGCCCCGGCCCTGCGGCACCTTCGGGTCCAGATCGGCTTCTTCTACGGGAGGAAGTGCGCCCACGACTGGATGCACATGCACCAGGGCGCGGTGACGGCGGCGCTCACGGCGAACCCCTCGCTCCACATCCAGGTAGACGTGCACGACGCAGTCGCCTGCACCAGCAGCACCTGCGCGACGTGCGCCAGGGGCT